TACTGCTGCATGCGGCATTTTACAATTACTGCAGTGTCAGTTGAATGAAATACAGATTGCTGATTTAGCACAAGGACTTCCATATCAAAAATACCTTGACAAATGTGTCTCCAAATACAAAACTTCTCCCTTCTTCAAACGAGCAGATGTGTAGAGTGGCTTTTTTAAACCCTTGTCAGCAACAATACTAATACTATATTTGATCCTGACAAAAGTATTATAAACATTAGTACAGATAGTAGGTTTATAAACTAATCACGGTAAGCTGAAAAATGTGTTGAATGTCAGATATCTAATTTAGGAAAATAAACACTGCAACATTATTCTCATTGTATTATCAAAAATGGAGATATATTCAAATATTGCAAAAATAATGCATATTAGTTTCTATTATTTTCGCAGAAACACACACCACAATATTAGATTAGTCATTTTGCCAACAAAAACTTGCTTACCAAGGCTCATTGCAGAGATTGTACTGTATTGTGACTTCTCGAACAAATTTTTGTTGCCGCAATGCATTCTGAAAAATAACAGACACAATGGTAATATACCAATAGCAGCCTTTCTAGATAGAGCAACAGAAATACCAGACTTCAACACATGCGAAAAAACATAAAATTCTTCTCAAATACAGTAGTTGTTTTATCTAATAAATAACGTTTTATTTTTCAGAGATTATCCAATAGAAAGCTGATTCCTGGAATGTGAACAATGAAACAGATCTAATACAAAAACAAAAAGCATAAATACATGCTTGAATAATTGAAAAGCACAAATGCAAGAGGCATCAAGTTCCGCATACGGAATAGCATAAACAAAATGTTAAGCAAACAAATATATAAAATCAAATCAACCAACATAAATAAAGTAGGCATGGATCATAATCTAAAGTTATAATTCTTGATTAAAAAGTTTTGTTTATTATAAGATGAGATGCTAGACTAACCGAAGCTGCAGCCCTGGTAGTCATTGTCCGCTCGACAGTCACTGGAGCAAGGGTGGGTTCAATAGTTGATGTATGTGTAAGGCAAGGTTCAAGATCAATAGTTCCACCTCCTTTCTGAAGATCAACAAAGTGAGTGGTTAAATATTAAGTTTTTAATATTGATAGGCACCAGGTTCAACCAATAATAAATTTATACACGTGCCCATGTAAATGCTCAGTAACTTCTCTAAAAACA